ACTTGATTGGCTAATTCATCAGGATTGACAGTTAAGTTGGACCTTTGTGACTGTTTTGAGTTCATTTCGCTTGCTTCTGGGGTGGACATCTCACTGGCCAGCCCACTTGAGGTTGACAAAGACCTGACATGCAAATGTTGACAAAGTGAGAGAAAGCAACCTAAAATGTAGTTTTTCAGTTTTGTATTTAACTACCAGAAAACAACAATTCATGACCCATTTGTTTGGCATCACTACATGTATAACCATTATTTTCACTAGAAGACTAGTATACAAATAAGCAAAGGATATTCTCTAAACAACAAGAAAAAGAAACTGTGCTTCCACTTTTGTTTTTGTTTTTGTTTTTGTTTTTTGTCATTTGTTTGTTTCTTGTTGCATGGAATCTTGTGCTATGGCAATTCTAGAGCTTGCATTGCTAGTTAAGACCAGGCATCAGAGTTGTCTCTTTACATTATGGTTCATGGTATAGGAGGACTCATGCTGATGCCATTGTTTACATTTTTGCTCATTTGCATACGACTTTGCGTACAGAAGGAAACCTGTTAGATATGAATTGACTCCAGGCAACTAAAGAGCTAGTGAAACTTAATACATGATGAAATTTTTAGCTCTTTGGGTGTAATATTCAAGGAGATATTGTCTTTCAAAACCTGCAAAATTTCTGGGTGGGAAAAGTGCTAATGAGCTCATACACTCTTTGTAAAATTTTGAGTTTTTAAACCCGTGTTGCACAAAACGTATTCCATACATCAGGCTGATATTCACTGGTGGAGTTAATCGTACTATGACCTTTCAGTACTCAGAACTGATTTATTTGTAGTTCCATCAGAAACTTAATTGCTTATGCTAATGAGGCAAATATTGTAAACAAGGATTCCCCTACTCCAAGATTAAAGTTAGCAATAATTATTGTTTATTCGTGTCGCAGCATTATAGTTTGAGATTAAAAGAAATGAAGAACAAAACAAAAGGATCAGCAATAATTATTTTAAGTTTAAAAAAAAACCTCAAGTTCTAGTTGGCCCTAAACCTTGATTAACTTGATGTTGGTTTATGGTACAGCAGGGGTTTCATCGAAGGCCAGGCACCAGACAAATTGACCAGCTGTGAGATGATTTTGCCTGCTTAGTTTGACCATCTAGTGGAAAGGTTNAACTTAATACATGATGAAATTTTTAGCTCTTTGGGTGTAATATTCAAGGAGATATTGTCTTTCAAAACCTACAAAATTTCTGGGTGGGACAAGTGCTAATGAGCTCATACTTCTTTGTAAAATTTTGAGTTTTTAAACCCGTGTTGTACAAAAAGTATTCCATACATCAGGCTGATATTCACTGGTGGAGTTAATTGTACTATGACCTTTCAATATTCAGAACTGATTTATTTGTAGTTCCATCAGAAACTGAGTTGCTTATGCTAATGAGGCAAGTATTGTAAACAAGGATTCCCCTACTCCAAGATTAAAGTTAGCAATTGTTTATTCGTATCGCAGCATTATAGTTTGAGATTAAGAGAAATGAAGAACAAAACAAAAGGATCAGCAATAATTATTTTAAGTTTGAAAAAAAACTCAAGTTCTAGTTGGCCCTAAACCTGGATTAACTTGATGTTGGTTTACGGTACAGCAGGGGTTTCATAGAAGGCCAGGCACCAGACAAATTGACCGGCTGTGAGATGATTTTGCCTGCTTAGTTTGACCATCTAGTGGAAAGGTTTTCTTCTAAAGAAGTTCAGTTCAAATAGTTTTGCCCGCCTTTAAAAACCAGTTGCCCTTCTGCTGAAAACATTAATGAAACCCCTGTACAGTCAAGCAGGCAAGGCAGGCAGGCAGGCAGGCAAACAATCATGCATAGGTCTGCAAATCATTAAAACATATAGTCACTTGGACTAGCAGCAATGCTAAATCTCATTTGACATGTAAATAAAGTTATCATTATCATTACTATAATTATTATTATCGTATCTATAACAAAATTATCGATCATGATTGATTCTCCGTGCGCCTATTTGTCACGTATTTGGTGTGCGATCACGTGGGTCTCCAATAATTATTACAGGTATCCAATTTGAACTTTTTGTGACTGGATACCCATGTGATTCGTACATCAATTACGTGCACTTTAATGGCTTCCTTTCCAATGTTTCCTGCAGGTTTGAAATGCACTACAGACATTTTTGCTCAAAAGAAGTTCTCAAAAGACATCTGTAATTCCAAATTTGTTATAGATATGATTAATTAGTAATTGGACCTCGTGTCGTACAATTCAGAGTAATCATGCTCATAATTTCAAATCGGCTTTGCACTTGTCCAATTTTGAAATTACTCGCACCATTACTCCCTGAATTGTACCCCACTTGGTCCAGTTACTATCACTTATTGGACAGTCAGTCAGTAGTTTAGTTACTAGGTACTGAGTAGCTGTAGTGTAAATGTGGTCTTTCTACGAACCCATCTCTACGATGCATTTCCTTTTCTTTCATTGGTGATGTAGCAGCTGACCTCTTGCCGCTGGGCTTCACAGGAGATCCAAGCAACAGACTAGCACCTGTGTTGGTACATGCTGTTGCCATAGAAATAT